CCTTCAGTCTTGTATGGCTGCTGTGACCAGCTCTAGTTAGGCCTGTTCTAAACTCAAAGTCAGGCTTTCATCAAAGAAATATTTAAAGCAGAAATCCCACATATTCATGTCATGACAAAATAAGATGATGAATGCAGAGACTCAGGCAGATTAGAAATCACCATTCAGATGTTAGTTATTAAGTCTCATTATCACCACCATTTCGTCCTGCTAGATTTTGGCCTGTACCTCAGCCTACTTTATATCAGAGTTGAAAAAAAAAAAAAAAAGAGTACGAAAAGTCTGCTCCCCATGGAGAGTGTGGACAGGAAACAGCCAACAACAAATGATGCCTTTTGCACATCATTTCAACTTAAGGGGTCAAACAGGGCACTGCAGCGAGCCTCAATAGCTTTCTGTAGACGGTGCGATATGGGCTCCCTGACAGAACATCCCACCACGTCAGTGGAAGGGATAATGACAAATGACTGGCTTCTTCTTGCTCCTTTCATTTGGTTAATCTGAGTACATTCTCTATACAAATTGTAACTGCTGTCATTTTGATAATACTCCAATTTGAAGATTTGGAGTGTTGGGTGCAGGCCGTTGCCAGCTCTTAACAAATGGTGGGTTGGCTACTGAAGGATTTGAAGGGCACTCTGGCACTGCTCCCAGACAGACTCTTTCCTTGCTGTGAAGGCTCCAATGTAGGCCAGATCTCCCAATTGCTATTATACTCAAAATGAAACAGGAATTTGTAAAAGGCTACTGCAACCATTGTAGACCTACACGCCGATGAATCAGTTGGGCTCTTCCTGTCTTTTGTTTTTCTTTTGACTCATTCTTTTTGTTTTAATTTCTTTTTAAAAAAAATTATTTGTTATTTTATTAATTACAGTTTATGTTTATTCACTTTGTATCCCAGCTGTAGCCCCCTCCCTCATCTCCTTCCAATCCCACCCTCCCTCATCTCCTCCATGCCCCTCCACCAGTCCACTGATAGCGGAAGTCCTCCACCCCTTCCATCTGATCCTAGTCTATTAGTTCTCTTTTTACTTCTTGTATTTTTGTTGCTGTTGTTTTTTGTTTGTTTGTTTTTTGTGCTGGATCAAACCAAGGGAATAATGTATGCTCAACCCATGATTGGCCACTTGCATCTCCAGCCTTCTTTGCTTTTGTATCAGATAAACCACTCATCCCAAGCATCCAAAATACATAAATGACTGTGTCTGTACCTCTTTAATTTTGTCATTACAAACTCTGATTAATATCAGTTTCAACTAAGCACTTAACGAGGCCCTTAAAATAGAACTGACTTTATTCAGAGGAATGGAATCATGCAAAAGATGGAGGTTCTGATTTCTCCTCTATTGAGGAGATTATACCTGAAACACGTAAGCGTTCAATGAGCTAAGCAGTAGAAGAAGGTAGGGTTGAAAGTGTTGACATTTAAACAAAACAAAGACTGTCCTTATTTCTGTTGGGGGTGAGGTCTTCCACAGAGTCCAGAAAAGAGCACTGGGTCTCCTGGAGCTGCCATGACAGGTGGTTGTAAGCCCCCTGAAGTAGGTGCTGGGTCCTCTCAAAGTTCCCACTGCTCTCCACATTTCACAGACCCACATAACCCCAAACCAAAAATTCTCAAGCTTCAACTGCTAGAGTCGCCAGCCACAGCCTATTACGTTGGCATTTGATTCAATGTTAATTTACTGCTACATCTTTTTTATCTCTCAAGATTTATGCATATTCATACAGCATCTCTCTCTCTGTAACTCCAAACATGTTATAGAAGAAACAATAGATAATAAAGTATTAAGCCAACATAATTTACATGTTCACAACTTATGGAGAGAGTCCCCAGGTAAACGAAATCCTGTACCAAATCAATCTAGCAGTGTTTCTTTACTTCAAAACAAACAAACAAACAAACAAACAAACAAACAACACTGAACAAAACCAAGGCAGGTGTAAACAATACCAGTGTTAAAAGAACTCTACATTCTTGAAGAGTGAAAAGCTATTCTGATTCCAGTCATAACATAGAGTTAATCATTCCCCTGGCCACCACCAGGTGCTGAAGGCCTTCTACACAGGAACATTTCTCTGGTGTCAGTGTAAAGGGACTGTTTGTCAAGATTATTTTCTAGCTGTTTTGTTACACAAGGTCCAGAGACACAGCTCAAAAAAAGTCATCTCATTTTTCAAGTTTTTCAAACCATAGTAGGTTAACCCCACTGTGTTTTCTCAGCAACACACAGGTAGTCTCCTCAGGCTTGGGAGCTGCTCTTCTTTGTGATGACCTCAAGTGACCTTTATCTTATCATGCAAAGGTTTAAGGATATAGGAGCTAAATGGTTTCAAATCTACATGTTATTTCCCCCCATAATCCAGCCACTAATTGGCTATGCCTGCTTCTTATTTTATAGCCTTCAAAACCAAAGGTGGAGGGGCGGTATACAACATGAAAATTGATGTCCAAGGCACTGATGGCGGAGAAGAGAAATGAGGGGATCTTTCAGGCCCAGTCTGTTCCCAGACTTCACTAGGTCTGTCCCTGTCCTCTACTCTGATGCCTTGGCTCACATAAGAGGTTGGCAGGAAGAGATTTCACTTAAAAGTCAGTGCCATCCTGGTAGAGAGAGCTTGCTGTTAAAGAGTTGTTGTTAAAGGGTCCCACAGCTCCTTTTGGTCTCTATCACTGCATGAAAGTGAAGGCGTTTAGGGGAAGGAGGAGGAGGAGGAGGAGGAGAATACCAAACAAAGTAGTTCTCAATGTAATATTACCACATTTACACTAAAACCAGGAATTTGTAGAAGTTGCATTCCCACCAGTTATGCAGCTGCACACTTGGCTTCTATTCTAGAACTCTGACATGGCTTTTGAACATCAACGACTGAGGAGTGGAAGCCAAAGTGTGTGTGTGTGTGTGTGTGTGTGTGTGTGTGTGTGTGTGTGTGTGT